ATCCGAGTAACTCGGAGGCTGCATGATCGAAAGTAAGTATGAAGTAAATAACGGTGTTCGTATAGTAATCAGAAAGAACTATCAAATGAAAGAAGAGAAAAACAAAGGAAGAAAATGATACTGACTTGTAGTAAATGACGAAGATAAAGTATGATGAAGACGGGAATATAATGAAGGTCGTTGACAATGTAAATGAGTGGCTTGGCGAAGAAAACTGCCAATGAAATATATATGTATATAGGTAAGGACATGATTAATGGCCAATCAGTATGGGGCCAGTGTCGATTTAACTGTCTTAGTAGTCTGATCAATCCAGAATAACTCTCACTACAGATTAATCATGAAGACAGAAATGAAGAAGGAGGGATGAAGTTAAGTTGGCTGAGGTATTTGATGAAGAATAATATCAAGTAATAAGATATGATATGGTTAGGATAAGTATGTGGATGAAAATATTGTGCAATGAGTTAATTAATGTAAATGGGTCGTAAATCCGCAACATGAATCTGGAATTGTATGCCAGTTTGAGTATCTTTAACTATATAAGTAGGATGATTGGTAGAAATAATAATTTTTGGTATGGGAGAAAATTTGGGATCTAATTTGCCTCGAGCACCATAAATACGAGTTAAAACTTTATCACCAATATTGTAATGTGGATCAGGACGATTTTGATCATATCGATTTTTGTTCATTTGTTGTTGGTGTATAATATTATATTTCGCTGCTCGATGATAAATACGTAATGTGTTTTGTAATTGGGTAAAATAATCGCTGGGTTTGTGAAATGAAAAATGTGATGGTCGTGTGTGAATAGGAAGACGAGGTGGACGACCATAAACGAGTTCGTATGGGGAATATTTGGTAGTTTTATGTATGCCAGAATTATAGGCAAATACAACAGCTTGCAAATATTCATCCCAATTGTTGTCTTCAGTATCTTGAAGTTTTGAGATTTGTGGAATAAAAGTGCTGTTGAAACGTTCGACGATGCCATTTGTTTGAGGATGATATGG